CTCTCTCTCTCTCTCTCTCTCTCTCTCTCTCTCTCATTCAGCTCAGCTCCAACAATGAACTGTTCCAATTATACACTTATTTTCACATAGCTATGAGAAGCGTTAAACATGGACGCGCGTGCAGTTGCTGTACTGTTTTAAAGCTTTAATCAGGATAAAACCGTATATTAAAAGCTAACATAAGCAGTAGTATTTACAAATAACAGCGTATCTAAAAGTATGAGACAACAACAAACAAAAGCATAGGCCTACCATTAAAAGCCATGCTTGCACAAGTTCTGCACGATCCTCTTCAATAATATCCTCTGCTTCTCAATCGAGCTCAAAATGATAAGCGATATTAACGACGCCGTTGTTTACAATACAACCGGAGCACATGCCGCTGAGGTGAGGGGCGGGACGTTTAGACGTGTACTATAGGCGGTTTAGCCAATCATAACACACTGGGCTAGCTAACCAATCAGAGCCCATCGCCTATTTCTGAGGGAGGGGCTTCATAAAAGCAGGAAATGATCAGCGCGTTTCTCAGAGAAGGGACAGAGCGGTGTGGAATAAAGGTAAATTATGTAAAAAAGAATGCGTTTTTTAAAAAAACGAAGCATTAACACATGTTAGACTGCACCCCATAAACACAATCAAGCCTAGAAAAAAAACAGTTAACCACCCCAGTGTATTTATATATGTATATGCAAATGCAATTGCTCTGGTGGACCTCACCTGAGGATTATGGGTAGTCTTGTGGCATCTACAGGAGCAGATGATCACTGAAGAACCTCGCGGTACGTCTGTCTTGAAATCTATATATATATATATATATATATATATATATATATATATATATATATATATATATATATACTGTATTTTTGTCTATATTGTCTGTATTGTACTTAGCGATATTATAGGCTTTTTTTAATGCAAAACATTTCATATTGAAATAACTATACTGCCATGATAACTAATTTTTTTATTTTATTTTATTGTTTTTATTTTATTGGTTTATTTAATAGGGACCATGCATATTCATGAACATTGTTGTATAAATATACACCATGTAAATATGCCAGAATTAGTAACAATAACTACTTTTCAGCTGCAGTCCCTAGGCAGGGAACATAAAACTAACATAAAGACAGCCAACAATAATACAACATTCATTCACTATAAATGAAAAGATACACATAATGATAACTATACTGCCATTTACAAAAAATGAATGATTAAATAACAAATTCCTGTCCAATAATCAACTTACTCTCCAATCTTCTGTAGTTCACCTCCCCTTCCAGTGTACAGCGTCAAACAGCCTTTAAAAACTGAGGCATAACTGCAGCAAAATACAAATGTACTGTGAATAGTTCTGTAGACTGTAAACTTTTAGTCTTGTATATCAACAGTTTTAGTGATACTTACTGTCAAATTATAAAACTGTTCACTATTGTTATAAACAATAATATAAACAATCAAATGAATTGATTGTTTGTATTATTGCAGAATGAATGTGTCTTTTGAGCATCTGTTCAAATGTCTGAAAGAAAACGTCTGATAGACTTTCAATGTGCATCACTCATCAAACACAGTCTCACCCTTTGGTAAGTCTGATGATGTCACCAGCCTGGATGAGGCCACCGACTTCGTCCCAAACCGAAATACTGATGCTGCCCGTCTTGTCAGCCACTTTACATGTGCGCACCTCATGACCGTCTTTGGTCTTCGTCACTCGTCCTTGAATGAGACAGAGAAAAGAAAAAATTATAATTTACAGTAAAAAAAACCCTGATATTCCTATGTACATTAGGGGTTTATGTTACATCTTATGCTGTTAAATTAATGTTTATTGCAATTTGTTTAGAGTCGTGTTTTCACCACCTGTATTATGGTGGTTGTCATATTATAATAGATAATTATAAACTATAAATAATTATAAAAAGAAAAAACAGTAATGTGGTATATTAACGCTATTTCAGTTAATAAAATATACAGTTACTGTAAATTGATTTCAGTCTTTAAAACTTTAAATGTTGCTACCATATTTTTTACTGTAAAATTCTGGCAACCATATCTGCAGTTAAATTTCATGGATTTTTTATTTATGCTTTATTACTTAATATACTTAAATATATTTTAAAAAGGAACTAAATGTCAATGACAAATGGAGCTGATAACAAAAAGTACCAAAATTGAAAGGAGTACTATGAGTACATGATTAATATGGACATATTACAGCACTAGGGTATTGATTATATTAAAATATGAACAAAAAGGTTTGTCAGTGTGTACCATTGTACCACTATGGAAGCCCGTTTCTGCCACTGAATAAAAAAATAAAAGAGGTAATTGTGACTTTTTATCTCACAATTCTGACTTTTTTTCTCAGAATTGTGAGATATAAACTCGCAATTGCGAGTTATAAAGTCAGAATTGTGTGATATAAACTCACAATTGCGAGTTAAAGTCCAATTTTGAGGGGGGGGAAAGACTGATATGTTCTCAGAATTGCGAGTTTATATCTCACAATTCTGACTTTATATCTCACAATTCTGACTTTATATCTCACAATTCTGACTTTATATCTCACAATTCTGAGAAAAAAAGTCAGAATTGCGAGTTTGTATCACGCAATTCTGAGAAAAAAAAGTCAGAATAGTGAGATAAAAAGTCGCAATTACCTCTTTTCTTTTTTATTCAGTGGCGGAAAGGGGCTTCCACAGTACCATCACATAACTTTTATATCACGTCATTTTTTTTACAGCATCAATCCATTAGATGAACAGTTATTATTGAAATTCAGCAGTGTGGGACTGCTATTGTTGGTTCCTGTATGATAATATGCTTTTGGTTTTCCTGATATGTGGATCACTTTAAATAAAAAGCATCTGCTAAACAATTATATGTTAATGCAGTTAAATGCTTATATTTGTTTCTTTCTTTTGTTCATTGTTTCATCCTTCCACTTCATGTAATGTGTTGTTTGGACACCTGTTTCCAGCACGATGAAGATGACATTGAGATTCTTGAGTCCAGGTTTAATGTCCTTCACATGAGTCTCTGTGCTCATGATCAGTCTACTTCTGCCCAAATCCTGCAAGACCTGATACACAACATGTCAGTCCACATCTGATGCATTAACACTCACTATTTCAAATGGCATGTAAGACAATACTAATTAAGGATGCATGTATGCAAATAACTTTTTTTGTCCAACAAACATTAATTTCGCTGTGACGACACATGCACGTGCAACACTGACAGCTGATACTACACATTTTCAAAGCAGGGAACTAATGCAAACACTTACTGGTTAGCACTGAGCTATGGCCGCACTGACTGTTTTCTGTTTTAATAGTAGCCTACTATTTCTCGTCATCTGCAACACTTCGTGTGAATAATCCTGAACAAACCCACTGCTCGTAATGTTATTTAAGGCGCTGAATGTTCTGACGGCGGTCAATCATCACAGTGAACGTGGACATTCAGCTACCGCTTACAGTTGTTGACGGTTTTTTTTCTAAAACGTCATGACGCAATGTTTTCCGTACGTAATGACGTAGTTATCCGCACGTATACGACCTGCACAACATATGCATAATGTTAAAGTTGAATTATCTGCCAATGAAATGTGAAAATGTGTCACAACATTGGGAAAATGTTCAAGTTTTTACAGATACATTTTTAGAGGCTTGAGTTGTAACGTTACAGTCCTTCTTGTGAACTTTAAGTAATGCACATGCGTGTTAATCCACATACGATAGATATCTAGGCTGCATTTAACGCGTTAAAACGGGGCATTAAATCCCTCATTCATTTGACCCGAGAGAATTTGCGACTTTTTAAGGTAAGATCGATTCAAATAAGTGTGTTTAGGGCGCGTTTTAAAGCTGTTTTATGAATGCACACGCTGTTACACCATAAAGAAAAATCGCTGGGCAAATTCAGAAGTGAAAATAGTTGGGGGCGCAATCCAAATTAAAAATGTCCTAAATTAGAGCAACTCGGGATGTATGTATTTATTTGAAAAATGACTTTTAATTAAGTCCATCAAACGAATTTTTCCATTTTGTAGGCTTTATGCGTTCGTCAGTTATTCTTCAGCATTCAAATTTCACGTAACAATAAGATGCTAATACCATGTTTATTTGTTTCTTTGTTTTGCTCATCTACTGTGGTTGTACAGTAACTTTCAGCTCAGTGTAAATACCATAGTGCATGTTACAGTAATTATTCACTTGTGGAAATAAAGATGTCTTGTAACACAACAAGGATTACAGCAGTTTGCCCCAAATAGGTCTCCGTTTATTCTATCATTTCTTTCTTAGTAGTTGTACAGTACATTCATATATTCATTATGCATATTGACCTTTTTCCGTCCTCATTTCTCAGGCTGAGGGACTTAAGACAAACAAAATGGCCACAGAATCTGATTTAGAAAATGAGATTAGCCCCGTTGACTTCATTCAGCTGCAAGAGTACATAGAATGTAAGTATATTTCATAAACCACCACATCAATAACATTATGAGAAATATTATTAATTTCCTTTCACTGACTCATAGATGATAGAATAACAAGATATATATGCTAAGTTATGAAGAATATTCTAAGTTAAATAGGTGACAAAAGGTTTTCATTATTTATTTGTTTGTTTGTTTTAATTTTTTCTTCCTTAGTAGTTGTACAGTACATTCATATATTCATTATGCATATTGACCTTTTTCCGTCCTCATTTCTCAGGCTGAGGGACTTAAGACAAACAAAATGGCCACAGAATCTGATTTAGAAAATGAGATTAGCCCCGTTGACTTCATTCAGCTGCAAGAGTACATAGAATGTAAGTATCTTTCATAAACCACCACATCAATAACATTATGAGAAATATTATTAATTTCCTTTCACTGACTCATAGATGATAGAATAACAAGATATATATGCTAAGTTATGAAGAATATTCTAAGTTAAATAGGTGACAAAAGGTTTTCATTATTTATTTGTTTGTTTGTTTTAATTGGACTTTTTCCCCCTTTGTTTTGAATTTCCTAGACGGCAGGATAAAGGTGAAAGATGCAATGAAGGAATTTCATGCTGGTGGAAAGCTGGTCCACCACAGGTTTGGAGATGTAAGCTTGACAATAACTTTCTGCTGGCTCCCCCAATAGTTCATTTGTCCATGAATGATATAATCATCACGTTAAAAATGATATGTGAAGTTTGGGGGGTTATTGTTTGATATTTAGCCAGATTTTGGTTAAATTTAAAGTATAGGCTATAACTTAAAGTTCCAAACCTGCATAACTTTCTTTTTCTGATTATTTGTATTCTGAAGAATGAGATCTGTTTTTGCCCATACACTGAAAGTCAGTGGGGTCCAACACAACTTTGTCACAGGTTTGGAAAGACATGACAGTCACTCAGTCGGTAAATGATGACAGAATTTTCTTTTTTGGGTGAACTATACTTTTAATATATGTGACCCTGGAGCACAAAAGCCTTTGTCTTAAGTCGCTGGGGGATATTTGTAGCAATAGCCAAAAATACATTGTATGGGTCAAAATTATAGATTTTTCTTTTATGCCAAAAATCATTAGGATATTAAGTAAAGATCATGTTCCATGAATATATTTTGTAAATTTCCTGCTGTTAAAATATATCAAAACTTAATTTTTGATTAGTAATATGCATTGCTAAGAACTTCATTTGGACAACTTTAAAGATGATTTTCTCAATATTTAGAATTCTTTGCACCCTCAGATTCCAGATTTTCAAATAGTTGTATCTCGGCCAAACCATACATCAGTGGAAAGCTTATTTATTCAGCTTTCAGATGATGTATAAATATCAATTTCAGAAAATTGACCCTCATGACAGGTTTTGTGGTCCAGGGTCACATATAGAATGTGTAGGACAGGGACAGAAGATATTTGTTAATGTTTTTTTATTTTATTATTATTGCGGTTTGCTGAATGTGAATCTAAAATCTCCATGAGTTTTTGAATTTTATGACTCTTTGCACTTTCCTCACTAAAGCACATAGATGCAACAGGATTTTCTCTGTTCCTCAAGAAGTATCTTGAGGTAGAAGATTTTCCAGCTGATTTCTGCCAGCGTCTCTACTGGTATTTCCAAAGATCTGAGCAGTGTTGTCCTGACCAAAGTCCTCACACCAAAGACGGTTAGCTGTTTCATTTTTGAGTCATCTTGAACTACAGAATTTCAGTAAATGTTACGAAATACACTTGTGTTTTGTCTTTCTAGCCTCTTCACATCCAAACCTCATGAGAGATCTAATGCTTTGTTTACATTTATGTGTCAAGTGCACAAGACAAAATTATAATGTTCTTCGGCACATGCACTTTTTGAATGTTTTGAATAAATGCAATACCTGACAGTGCTATTTTAAATAGTGAAAATAATATGAATTTATCGTTTAAAAGGTACAATATATAATCAGTGACAGTGTGCAAGCATCTGCATCTATAACTCCCTTCTGTATTATAATTATTTCTGTGCTGGTGTCACTGTTGCCTTCTGCATGGGAGTCCACAATACGTTTTTCAGTAATTACAGACAAAAATATATTTATAGTAGGTAAATGTGTTCTTGCTGTTGCTGTCTAACTGTAATTAAATTGCACAAGTACATATTATTTGTGGGTTTTCACTGCAAAACAAAAGAATAATGTCATAAATATCAACAACATTTTTGAGAAAAGCTGCAGCAATTTTTTATTTATTTATATTTTGTGGTGATCATTACATTGATATTTAGTGTTATTTGTTTGCTGTCAATCTTTGATCTCCTCTTTCAGACTGTGTCTCTCTTAAAGCTGTATCTTGTTACTTTTCAATATTGGAGGATGGAAATCCTCGAGACAAACTAGAGTGTAAGACATTCTTTGACTTTAAATCTCTAGTAGATAATATCACTAATGCTATGTAGTATGTACTAATGCCATTTATAATGCAAAATGAGTTGAATCATTTTTAATCATCTAAATTATTAAATAAACTTGCCATTTGTTTTAAGCGTAATTAGTCTACATGCAAAGTATTTATTATTTATAAAACATCTGTTTGGCAGACACCTTCAAATTATATGATAAAGATGACAATGGATATCTTGATAGCAAGGTAACAACAGGCAAACTTTTTTATATGTCTATGTATATTTTGATATTTCTATTTAATGCTACCCTCTTAATTCCCATTGTAGCTTACTTGGGTTCAAATTAGTCTACTAGCATGTCCAGTGATCTCCTCTTAAAATAAGTTATAATAATTATTTATTATAATAAATTCTGTTTTTTTTCTGTGTATATTTGTTTAAAAGGAAGTTGACAAAATTGTTACACAGATGATGCAAGCTGCAGAATACCTTGGATGGGATGTGACAGAAGTAAAGCCAGTAAGTTCATACATACAAGTACTGTAACGGTTTCAGAAGGTATTACTGGTTTGGAGAAATTGCTTTTGCTTTTTCAAAGTTAGTTTGTACCAGTGATGGCCTAGTGTTTTTTTTTTTTTCCAATAGTCCCAGATTTTCTGCTTTTAAAATGTCTATTACATAAAAGGAAAGAAAACATTTAAAGGGGTCATATGATGTGATTTAAATTTTTCCTTCCTCTTTGGAGTGTTACAAGCTCTTGGTGCATAAAGAAGATCTGTAAAGTTGCAAAGACTAAAGTCTCAAATCCAAAGAGATATTCTTTATAAAATTAAGAGTCAACCACGCCTACCAAAAACGGCTCGTTCTAACACGCCCCCACATACCTACGTCACTATGTGGGAAGATTTGCATAACGCCGCCCAAATGTTCACGCAAAGAAAGAAGGCGTAACTTTTATTCTCGCTGTAGTATTGTTGTTGCTGTCGCCATGCCGTGAAGGCACTGTGTGTTTCGTTGTGAAAGTGAAACTACTTTGTTTGGTCTTCCAAAAGAGGACGATATCTGCTTCATCATGCCTGGATCTGATCCGTGCTGGTTGCTGAGGAAATACATCAACTTTGTGCTGTCGATCGCCGGATCGGCTTTCACCGCAGACGAAGCGGGGTCCAGCCCGGAGTCGTCACATGTGGTTGCCGCAAGCCTCCTTCGTCGAATCCGCCGGCCACGCCATTCTCAAGCCCGCTGCCGCTCACTCTAGCCCACCGTGTGTGACACCGTGTGTTTCGTTGTGAAAGCGAAACTACTTTGTTTGGCCTTCCAAAAGAGGACACAACTAGAAATCAGTGGTTAAGTTGTATTTACAACACTGTTCCAGAACACTTCAACCCAAATATTTCGATGTGTGTGCAGCGCATTTTATGGAGGACGAGGACTGTTTCCTGAGAGAGTAGACTACAATGCCGATGTCTCTTTCTATAAAGTGGGGCAGTTCCAACTTTGCAAGGACAGTCTGGTGCTTCTGATTTACAGCCTGTAAGTAAGTTTTCATATTTAAAGAATTTGCCACTGATGATTCAAACGCGAGTTTTGGGCAGTGTAGAGTAGGGCTTGTTGTTTGTCATTTCTCCTATCAC